GGGGGGGGGGGGGGGGGGGGGGGGGAGGGGAGGGGAGAGAAGACGCGGAACGAGTGCCGGCAGCGTGAGAGCGGAGTAGAATAGAAAGACCATTTCCCAGGCAAAGGAGCAGAAGCTTTTATCCCGTTAATTTTATGCAGACGGAGCTGGCCCTCCCTTCGATTCGACAGCGGGCGAGAGAAGAAGGAAACGGAAGAGAGAAAGAGTGAAAGGGAAAAGGGGAAGAGCGCCACGGAAAATGGCTCTAACCGTTAATCCAATTGGCTTTCGCGAGAATTAAGGCCGCTCGTTCTCGCTCCGTCGCATACACGCACATCTCGCACCTACAACGCGACACGACGTCGCACGGCGTTTTTACTCGGACGATAGTCCGCGCTGTAATTAGGTGGCAATTACATGAAACATTTACAAAGCGCGCCAAGCGGAGAACGTATTTCCGCGGTGAATGTTTTACAAAAGGCGTTACGCCGAAATAATAGCACTCTTAATTTCGCCCGGCTATTTCTTTCTAATTGCGCCAGTGGTTTTGCGCGCGGATCGCTGCGCGTCCCAGTTTCCGCGTAAATGTTTTAAAAGTACTGCGGAGACGGCCTTGTGCAATTATGGTATTTTTGTTTTCTGAAATTGCAGCTCCATGCTTCCGATTCGCGTGTTGATAATTTCGTCACAGAAGGTCCCGGCCGGTCATCCGCGCCGGCGTGGCGACGACAAATCCGGACGATGTTGCAACGCGGTGGTATGTTCGATACGTAAAATTCGGGACGGATTTGCGGAGTTCCGAGAAATCGCGCGAGATTAAACGACAAACTTTTAATTATTTCGCATTTCATGGCGGAATGTTTAATCAGCAGAAGCGGAACGTACAACCGTGTCGCATGACGTATTGCGCTTTTCATCATGGTTCGCAGCTTGGCGTAATGCGCTCAACTAAACGTAATTACAAATTGCAACGCGTACGTTTTAGGGGCGAGTATTCTTCTTTTACTTTTGTTTTTCGCGTGTTGCACTTTTATGCACAGCTAAACGCGCTGTCGTCCCGAATGTTATTTACAACGACGCGGAGACATTGTCACCCTATTTCCTGCAATGTGCCATAATAGCAAAAAGCACCGCATCTAATTGTTGTAATAAAAAGGAGACCTCAAGCACGCGTCGCTTTTTATCCTCTGTACGATAGCACGAGCGCGTCAATAAACAAGTTTGCTCCTCTACAATCACACAACTTTTGAAGGAAGCAGTATAGGATAAACGTAGTATTGATATAACGCCGAGGAATGTTTCCAAGTTTTACCTTTCAACCTTCAAACTTCCCAGCGTTCGTACAGCCTAAACGTTTACTAGACGATCATTCTAGATTAGTCTCGTACTTTGCGTCTGAGATAAATGTTAAACGGAACAATTCGTTATCTAGAGGCTCCAAAAAGAGATTCAGATCCCCGTATTAATAGTCATTGCTTGAAACGTGTCTCAAATAAAATGCTCAGATTTGAATTTAGGGTAAGATATTTTTCGCGGTTGAATCGCGGTTATAAATATAATGTCACGAATATCGTGTGGCAAATGAAAAACTCTGATATAATACCAGAAATTCAGATCTGAATATCTTATGTGAAATAAGTTTCAAGTGAGGACTAGAAAATGAAGATTCCAACCCAAGTGGAGTTTCCTAGCGGCTTCAAATAGATTAAGTAGAATCGAACAAGGTCGATCCAATTGTTCAAGATATCGAAGCAGTCGTTAAATTTCAAACAGTGAAAAATCGAGGTTTGAAGTAGGAGAAAAATTTGGGAGCACTCCTCGGCAGTGTACCAATGCTTATGTTTATCCTACATCTTTCTATCAAAAGTTTCGTGATTGCGAAGACAGGACCTTGAAGAGTTCTCCTAACATTCGGAGACAATACGAACTTGTCGATAAATACGGATCTCGTCCTTGCGATAAAAAATATCCGCCTATCGAATGTGCGTACCGTGCCAGACGGAGAAGTTAATTCACTTCTCGATAAGATGAAAACTTTCAAACAGCTCGACGAGATGTGAGAGCGAGACTGCGTTTAGCAGAGAAAAGCAAACTCGCGTATACGTCGATTGACCGAATGGGAGCATGACGGAGAAATGTAATGCAGCTGAAAGTTCGAACGCACGAGCGTTCGATCGGCGAAACTTTTAAATACCCATTAAAGCTCGTTATAATTCTTTCGTTCTGAGTGTAGCTGTAAAACCGAGCGCGTTCACGGTTTGTATTCGCGGTACGCAATTATAGTAGCCGTTAGCTTTGGCAAAAAGACAAATCAAAATGCTCTGTATGAAAGCACATTAGGAACTTTAATTCCTTCAATGCCCTCGTTTCGAACAATTTTACCGCTCGCTCATTTACATACAGAGAAAAGAATGAAAAGTTATCGTCAATTAAATATTAGATGACGCGAAGCTATACTCGGCAAAATGCGGCGTGAAATTTCACTGCGAATGCAAAAGCGCCATACATATCTCAACTAAAATATATCAACGGCTACCGCATTCTCTGCTCGTGTGTAGTTATAATTGAGATTTCTTTATCATAGTATTCGTGAGCGAGAACGCTCGTTTCCGGCCACCCTTTGTTCGCGCAGGGCGCAGAGGAAGAGTGCCGTTATCTCGCGACTGGTAAATTTTCCTGAGTTACAGCCTCGGATCCAGTCGGACCGACCCGTTAATTAGCGACCAAAAGAAGAATTGCCGCGAGACCCGTAAATTAAGAACAATAGAGAGAAATACGCGGTAGACACGGTCGGGTTACTAGGTGGCTGCGAATTTTCACCGGCCAGCGCGCATTCCTCGAACGGCGATACAAATTAAAAAAAGGGGGTTGTCGATGAATACGGCGCGCGCGGAGTACGAGACCGCGAGCACATATATATGGCTCGAGAGCGAATAAAAGCATATCCCGGGCGAGACGATAGCTTTTTTGTGTTTAGCAACGACGGGAAAAGCAACGCCTAATGACAAAAATGTGTAAACCGGACGTGCCGTTGATTCTACGCGCACAGCAAAAAATTTCCACGCACGCTACGTGTATCTCTGTGTGTATATCGGCCGAGAGCTCGTATCTATGTTAAATATATTTGTGTCAATACGCGAAAAACATATTTCTACGTATATAAATAAAATAACATCTCATCAAGGGATAAAAATTACGTGTGATTCGCAAAAATCGTTTGCTCGAAGCATGTGATATTACTTTTATTAAAGAGTGAGGAGTGTAATTTCTTCATGTTACGTTCCAGCATACTGCTTGTTACGCATGTAGAAGTTTGCTCAGTAGCGATCTATTTTAATACAAAAAAACCCCCCTAACTCAGCGGTGTTTGCGCGCAACGCGCAAGTAACTAACTGGCAGCGCACTGTTGCAGCCGCAACGTAATCTCATGTTTTATTTCGCCATAATTCACGAATTCAGCATGGAATTTAGATTAAACCAGACTAGATATTACAAATGCACGCTACAGCGCATTCTTTGCGTAAGTGATTCTTTTTGTAAATAATTGTCAATCATTAACGAAATGCACAAACTTTGTGCTGCAGTTTTCGTCATTTGCGATCAATGCGATTTACTTATAAGCATGCACTGCATAATATGACGCTTCATGAGCGTAAATTGTACGCTCACCATTGCGCGCCGATATCCAGCGATGTCCAGTTGTCCAGTTGTCCGGGTCCGCGCATCCGTCCAACGTCCAGCCTTCTCAGCATCCAGTAGTCCCACCACGTCGGCTGCTCCTCCCTTCACTTCACTCCGTTTCATTCGTAACCGCGATAATACTTCACGGCGTTTGAAGATAAAAAACGCGATAAATTACGAAAAAAATACTCACGAATCGCGAATTTGTGTGCGCAAAATCGAGAAGTGATGACATTTTCGCAAAGTCGAGAGAGGAGAAAGAAAATATCCTGTTTCGCGGACGATTATTCTTTGTCAACAAACGTCTCTCATTTCACGAGAATTCTGATTGTCGAATCGAGCAATAAATACCGCATATTGAATATAGTAATTTCGATTTAAATAACGTTATATAACCAGCCGTATATGAAAATTTCAGAAAATTAATAACCGCGACGATCATGAAATTTATCATGACCGAAGTACGTGATCGCGAATTTTGCACGCGGTGACGCAATCCTGATGCGCATTTTATACTGCTCGAAATATTAAAGAGAGAGAAAGTCACATTAAATAAATAGATCCATTTAATGATTTTGTATCGTGAATGAAATATGTGACAAGCATCAAAATATTTATAGAGAAAGAAGTTTACTTAAAGAATAAATTATTAAAAAGATATACGATAAACACCAAAATACTCATAGAAAAAGGATCTTACTTAAAAAATAAGTTACTAAAAAGAAATATTAAAAGTAAATATTTTTAGAAAGTTACTAAAAAGAAATATTGAAAATATTTTTGGAAAGAAAGTATTCACAAAAATTTGCATATATATTAAATAATGATACAAGTATTTTAAAGAGTAATTCTCCAATTGTTTCGAGCAGTGTATTTGGTGGACGGTACAAACACATAGATGCAAAACCCAACATGCAATAATCTAATAAACTACACTGAGAGTAAACAATGGTTAATCTCACTAAAGTTATAGTCAATTAATTCCAAGTAAACCATATGGTTTTGTTAAACGAAAGGAAATATTGATAATATGCATATAAAATGATTATTATTGACACTATAGTGCTTACTACAAAAAAATAATTTTCCTGAAATTATAATTATTTCAACTGTGTAATTACACGAAACACTTTTCTCTCAGTGTAGGTAAATCGCATTGATTTTGTTTAATATCATTTATCACCAAAAAAACTTTTTAATTTTTCATATTTCTTCTTTCTTAGACTCACCGAAATACCAAGAAGTTAGGGCCGGCCACGTTTCGCTACAAATCTGAAGCAAAAAATAAAATTTTGTTGATTAGATAACAAAGTAAACAGTTTAACAAGAAAAATATGCATAGAGACGAATGTGTAAGTGTATTAAATAATTTCAAAGTATTAACACATTCGTCTCTCAGTGATTTTTATATCTTGAAAGCTACAGAGAAAATGTTCTAGAGAAGAGAGAATTTTATTAATAAAATAATAAAATAATAAGATAGACTTTAAAGATAGATTTTAAAGATAGACTTTCCTGATAGTCTATTCCTACACTACTAAAGACGAAGTAAAATTGAAAAGAATTTATGTGAAAAAAAAAATATATTTTCTCTGGATATCTCAATTTTCAATCATAAAAAGCTTGATGTGACAATACAAGAAATTTGTAAATCTACCTTCGAGCCGACCCTACTTGGCCCGAACCGGCTCCTCCGGTACAGCATCTACGTCCATCGAAACTGCACACATCATGGCCTCAAATGCTGACAAATCTAAAGCAAAAATTAATTTTCTGATTAATCAGATATCAAAGCATACAGTTTAACGAGAAAAATATACGTGGAAATAAATACGTAATTATATCAAATAATTTCAGGGATAACATTCGTCTCTTAATTATTTTTATCATAGAATTTACAGAGAGAATTTTATAATAAAAATAGATCTTATTCTGATAGTTTATTCCTACACTGCTAGAGATATAATAAAATTGAAACAAATTTATATGGAAAAGAAACCATATTTTCTCTCTGTATATTTCAGTTTTCAATCGCAAAGAGTTTGACGTGACAATATTAGAAATTTGTAAATTTACCTTAGAGTCGTCCCCGCTTAACCCGAACCGGCACGGCATCTACGTCCATCGAAACTGTACCCATCATGGACTTTAACCTGACAAATCTAAAGCAAAAAAATTAATTTTCTGATTAATCAGATATCAAAGTATACAGTTTAATGAGAAAAATATAAATATATAATAGAAACAAACACGTAATTGTATCAAATAATTTCAAGGATAATATTCTTCTCTTAATTATATTTATTATATACGGAAAAAAAGGTTTGGTTGAACCAAATATCTGGTCGAATATGAATGATCCAGAAATTCCGATTGAAATAACCCGAATTCTGTTTAAGTCAACCAAAAATCTTGTTAACTTAAACAAAATTCGGATTACTTCAATCGGAATTCTGGATCGTTCATATTCGACCAAATATTTGGTTAATTTAACCAAACATTTTTTTCCGTATGAAATCCACAGAGAGAGTTTTATAATAAAAATAGATCTTATTCTAACAGTCTATTCCTACACTACTAGAGATATAATAAAATTGAGACAAATTTATATGGAAAAAAGACTATATTTTCTCTATGTATATTTCAGTTTTCAATTGCAAAAAGTTTAACGTGACAATACAAGAAATTTGTAAATTTACCTTCGAGTCGTCCCCGCCTGGCCCGAACCGGTACCTCCGGTACGGCATCCGCGTCCATCGATACTTGAATCTCTGACAAATCTGAAACGAAAAGTAAATTTCCTGATTAATTATATGAATACACGTATGAACGTGTCGAGAATAGAGTTTCGTGACTGTGTTTTTCTATAAAATTAACAAAGAAAAAATATAAAAAATAATAGTTACCATGAAGGCTAACACACACACGTAGAATTACATATATGTAGAATTGCACACGCGACTATGATTACACACGCGAATATAAAATTCATAATGCGAGATATAATATAATTTCAATCGCGAATCGAAAAATCGAGAATCACGCGCGACGTCTCCCGATCCATTTACTCGCGTTTCAAGGACTGTTATAATCGCTCGACTATAGTCTGTATACGAATATGTTGTTCTCAGAGTTCATGTGACTTTCCAGTCAGTGAGACTACACGCAAAAAAATTAGCCACAAAAGCTAAATATAATTATGACAGCTGTGTTAATCAAGTACATCCAATTAATGTCGTTACCGAAATTTTAGTTATTTGTGGTTCGACGCTATGACAAAAAATATCACTGTTAGATAAAAAGTTCCTATTACTATCACCTCGTATTTCTTTTAGATTGCACTTTATATTCGTTGAAAACATAAAACTAATGTTTCGTATTACTACATTAAAGTTTTCCGTTATTAACATCACTAATTATGATCACTAATCATGTCCACTTTAACGGAAGCACCAAAACCAATGTCTTTCGCACATTCACACGATTACGCTATTTGATCTTTACTCCACGTAAGGGTAATTCCACGATTACAGGAAACGTAATAATTTTCCCTTTCTGGTTCAACGAACCAAAAATATAAAGATAATAGCCCGATTTCATACGTTTTCCTTACAGGCACATTTTGACCTCTTTACATAATTATTCTTTTGTATAAATATGACTTTTGCAACTCTTGTGTGCAACATTCGAAAACTTTTAAAATGGAAATACGAATACCTATCTTTAAGGAACACATCGACGGAGCGCTCCGTGCCTTTCTCGTCTATCAACTTCGCGTACCATCGACGCGTATCCCCGAGGGACGTTTAAAGCGCGGCAAAGAGTTATTTTTGCACCTGCAACGGCGCACACGGCGTTCGTCGCCGTGTCGGAATTTTCCGTAAAAGGCTCCGCGGTGTCTAACCAAATATTTATCGCGCGATAGCACCCGTGCCGCCCGGGGCGAAGCGAAGCACGTGGCTTAGATGGCAACGGCCGAATCAGTAAGCTCAAAGTGGACGGGCCGTACTTTGCTATACGGAAAGCTCAGGATTACGCCACAAGCATGAATCAAATGTGCACGGTTAACCGAATGCATCCGCGGTATTAAGTTCACACAGTCCGCACTGAACACCATACGGGATGATAGCTTTTATGTTTTAACACAGCGACCTTAATCTAGCTCTTTAGCGATGAAGTTCTTTGAGAAAACGAACGTTAACGTCTTACAAAGGAACGTCACGAGTTGTCAGTCGCCAATATTGATAGACTTCGATCATGTCGTATAGTCGGTCGTAAATCGATTTGCGGTCTTTTTATCGAATGAAGTTGCAACACTTCAAGTTGTCAGAATTGGAAGTCACTGCTGACGTGTATGCACAGTAACCGGTTATGACAGGAATCGATGTTATGACATGACATTTGCGAAATTTGAAAGAAAGAATTTATTTTAAAATAAGAGGACATTATTTTGACAAGTAATTTTTATATGTTTATAACCGATTACATGCGCATACATGTCAATAGTGTCTTTCAATTCTGACAACTCGAAGCGCCGCAATTTAATTCGATAAAAAGTGTGCAAGCCGATTTGCAACCGACTAAAAAATAGCTAAAAATAAAACACAAATTTTCTTATATATGTTCTTTCTTACAATACAAAGTCCATCGAGATCGGTGAGCGACTTCTCCAAACATTTTCTCGTCGGAACAACCTGGTTCCTCAGTTGCACGAGCGCTTTTGATTTACGAAGTCCAAGTCGGTGCATTCGCAATTCTTAGTTTATTTCGCACGGACCTCACGCTCGCCGAAACGGTTGACTCGACAAATGGAGCAAGATGTTATATTACACTTACGATGCTTGAAAATTATGGATTTCGAGAGAGAGTTATGTGACAGTGTAATAAGAGAGTTCTGCTTGAGATCTCGCGTGCAGATTATTCCAATAAATTTCGCAAAATGTGCAGAATACCGGCTTTTTCGCCCTCTCTTTCTCTACCTTTCCAAGTGCGGAGCAATTTCGGATGTATCGAGAAACGAGGAAATCGGATGATTTCTCCGTTGAGTAAGTGCGGAAGGGTGCCGGAAGACAAATATTTATCTCCTTTGTAGTTCTCCCCCTCGGCCGTGATATATCGAGCGGGACTACCGACGAATATTCGGTCAGTGTCGAACATATATACATACATATATACATATATACATATATAAATACATATGTGTGTGTGTGTGTGTGTAGAGAGAGAGAGAGAGAGAGAGAGAGAGAGAGAGAGAGAG